GAATGAGTAAAAAAGAAAGTAGGGAGTGTGACGCACTGAGGAAAAATAAAAACTTTGATGGTAATAGAAAGAGAGATAGGATACAGCCAGAGGACTACTTGGATTTTTGTATTTCTTTATTTCTTTTTAAAATTGAGAGACTGGCATATGTCCAGAAGTGGAAACAAAGGAACCAGTGAAGAAAGTAAAAAATGCAAGTATTAATGGTCTCAATCGATCAGTGTCACAGAATGAAAAGGTACTCTTGGAATAGTCATCTTCCATGAGAAAAGCAGTCAGAAAAAAAGGGTGAAGATGCAGGTAATTTCAAAAGAGACACTGAATTATTTCAGGAAGGCAAACACTGTAAAGTCCCCAACTTAAAGTAGGATTCAAGTTGCTCTAAATATTTAAAACAGCTGCTATGAGATTCAATCAAGAGTAGCCCGGCAGCAGTGAGGCCCCAGCGGCCTGCCTGCACTCATCTGGGAGAGTATGTGCGTGCGTAAAAACAAGAGTTGTCAGAATCCTGCTATACTTAAAAATCTGAGGGAGAATTGAGAAGAGTCAAAATTGAGGGGAAGAGGAAGAGAGCTCTGGAAAAGTTGAGGACCGGGAACGACCAGAAAGATATAAGGACCTTAATCCATAAGAAGAAAGTTTCATGCCTGATCTCAACCCTATTCTTTGAAAAAGTGCCACATATTAGATGACAAGTTATTGTTAATTTTGGTAGGTATGAGAATGGTGTGATAATCTGTGTGTGTGTGTGTGTGTGTGTGTGTGTCTCTCTCTCTCTCTCTCTCTCTCTCTCTATATATATATATATATATATATCACTTGTACACATATAAAACCATACACAGTGGTACCTAGGTTTAAGAACTTAAATTTATTTTATGATTTGCGGGAAATGGCCCTCTTTGTGTTTGAGTGGGAAGAGGACTGCAGTTGTATTTGTTAACTTTATGTGGAATTAACTGGAAGCAAAATTTTGTCAAACATTGTTGTTTGAGAACTGAATAGTTTAAGAACTTAAGTATTTGTGAACTGAGAGACCATTGTTTATGTGTATATCCTTATCATTTGGAGATGGTCTCTAAAATAAAATGATTTCTTCAGATTGAGGAAGTTTGGGGAAAAAGTAAAAATTTGGAGCAATGTACAAAATGTCTAAATAAGAAAACTGACCATAAACCAGAAAAAAAAGGTGTGAAACAGTGACAGAATTCTTTAACCATCCTACTAACTTTGGGAGACATGATTGGATACAGGTATAACACTTAGGAAAGGAAAACCAAACCAATTTTAAAAATAAGGCATTCTACATCTTACAGTAAAAGGTACTATTCACATATTTTAAGTTTATGTAGGAAAACTGTCATACTTAATTACATAGCAGATGCAGGTATGTAAGCAAGGGAAATGTGTGACCAATAAACATATATAAAGCAGAAAAACCTGCTAAGTTATACCTCCTTTCCTTTCCACTCTAAAAAAAATTTCTTAGCTATCAACAGTCTCTAATTATTTAACAGAAAGAATTGCAAATGTGCATTAAAATGTCCCTCTGACCTTTTAAATTAAAAAATAAGTTTAACACAGCATGACAGACAAGCTCTGTCTAGCCTAACTAATGGGGCGACAAGCACAGTGCTCAAATTGGAAATTAGAAATGTTGAAATGCACCGAATAATGAGCTTCAATTACTGTCTGAATGATTTCTTCTCACATTAGATCCCAATTACCCATTCCTATGTGAACCATGGAGACCTTATCCATAAAAGACTCCAGCTTCTTTTTTTCTTTTTAAGATATATACCAAACAAAGCTATCAGAAAATCCTCACCAGAAACAGAGAATGGTTTCCTTATGGCTTGCAAGATACTGCCAAGATTCCCTTTAAGGTTCACTTAGACGGCATTCAAGGGAGAGTCCCATATGGAATTACTCCCCACACAGGAGCCTGACCTGAGGGAAGCCAAAGAAAGCAGGGATTATTTTAAAACTCCCAAAGTAGAGACTGTTGTATATTTTTCCCATACTGGATCTAATTCTACTGGTAAATACAACACACACAGCATGCCAAGAAGCACCACAGAGGGTCACTCCTGACACTGTCTGGCAGACGCCGGTGGCCCTGTATAGCTGGATAGGCCTAGAAGGCTGCCTCAGTCCCTGGGACTTAGGGGTCACCAGGATCGGCAAGCCAGCCAGACACACAATCTCAGGACATGCACACCAATGCTTCAAAACAACTTAGAGAAATCATCTGTGTCCTAAAGGGCAGCTTTTCTTTTAGACAACTTATAAGCAGTTCCTCTTCTAATGAAAGAAACACATAATGTGTTATTTTCAACCAGCCCTTTAAATAAAGAAAACGCACAATGTGTCTGCAGAGACACATTAAATCCAAGCCCTTAAAGCAGTTATTGCAGTTACATCTTGGTTCTTGGCTGAGTGAACTCTGACTAGTTTTTATCCAAAGAGGAAGGAAAGTCTTCCAGGGAACAAAACAAAATATGTAATGAATATTAGGAAAAAGTAATGCTTATGTTCAGGCTCATAACCTGAAAATGGTGGTTGAAAATATGTATAATTTCTAATTGCTAATTTAAGTCATTTATATTCTGTTAATTGAAAATACTTCCAAAAATTCAAATTTCATAGATAATCCATTAGAATAATTTGCCTCTAAGCTTACTGTACCCTTGACTTCTGTTGGTATCATGTTTTTGTAAAAGAAACATCAGAACATTCATTAGCTAAGAAGTAAATGTGTATTAGAGAGCAGCAGGTTTCACTCCTTTTCTCTTCGGATTTTTTATGGATAAGAGTAATTACAGAAAAGAAGAAACCTCAGCCCAAAAAAACATACATGATGCTACTGGATCCACCACTGGAATGGATCAGATGGTCTGTTTTTATGTACAGTGTCTTCTTTCACATTACCATCATCATCATCATTATTTAAGGAAAGCAGAATGAAGTAAAACAAAGTTTTAGAGCAAACCTACCTGAATTCAAACTTCATCACTGTTACTTTACTTTGTGGCTACATTACTTGACCTGAGTCTCAGTTTCCTCAATCATGAAATGAACAATACTTCAATCTCCCTCTATAAGAGGTGAGTCTCCCTACTTCTATGATGCTCAGAGTTTACTGCAGGTTCAATAAATAGTTGTCCCTTTTATAACTAAAGAATTTAAGTTGTCTTTTCTTTTTTATCTTTTTCATTTTTATCGGTACCGGGGATCGAACTCATGACTGTCTGCTTGCAAGGCAGGCGCTTATGCCGCTGAGCTAAATACCCAGCCCCAGAACTTACATTTTCAAAACACATCAAGAAAGTCAAAGACCCGCTCTTTGGGCTTTCTTACAACACCTCGCACTGAGAGTATTAGTTCCTGTCCCATTTAGCATACATAATACATATTTGCTGTGGTTTGGATTTTGAATGACCACAAAGGTCCCAGTGTTAAAGGGACTGTGGTCTTCAGCTTGGAGCTTTTGGGAGGTGACTTCACTTATTAAGAGGTTGGGACTAGTGGGAAGTCTTCCAGTCACAGGATGCCACAGAGAGAAATAGTGGAACTCTAGCCTCTTCCTCTTTTTCTTTGTCATTTCCTAGTCTGTCCTCACCATGATGTGCTGCTGCATCAGAAACCCAAGAGTAAGGGGGTAAACATCTCATGGACTTAAATCTCCAAAAAACTGAACCAAAACAAGCAATTGTCACAGTTATTTGTTACACAGTAATACCTCAGTTCACGAATACTTTTGTTCACAAACAATTCAGTTCTCAAACAAAAGCATTGGCCAGAATTTTGCTTCCATTCACAAACTCCACATTATGTGACAAACACAAACACAGTAATCTTCCCCAAAATGGTGAAACAAATTAAGTTCATCAACCGAGGTAGCATATAGTAATGAAGTTTCACAATATTCAATAATTACGAATTAAATTTTGAGTAGTTATTTTGAAAAATTTAATGAAAACAATTTTATTTTCAGAAATAAAAGCACTAATAAAAACTGAGACAAAAGCACTAAAGTATTTTAAAGAATCATATGGGGGGGCTAGGGATTTAGCTCAGTGGTATAAGCACCTGCCCACCAAGTGCGAGGTCATGAGTTTGATCCCCAGTACAAAAAAAAGAGAGAGAGAGAGAGAGAGAATCATACTGGAAAATATTTAATTAGTGCTGTGCTAGAAATACTGAAGTTCTAATATTTTGTTCGATTTTGCTAAAAAGTTTCTGAAGTGCAAGCACCATTTCCATGGAACAAAAAGATACTGTGTAGGTTTGATGAACTGGAGAAAAAAGAAAAACATAAAGCACAATATGAAAATGCTTTAGAAAGAAACCCCTAATATATACTTTTTTCTTTGACTTTAGCTCCAAATTTTAAATTTTAAAAATAGCTTAGGTTCCAGAACAAAAATTATTCAGGATATTTTATGTGCTTTAGAATAACAGCAAACTAACTTACACATAGATTTTCTTTTCCCTCGGACATTAAAAATGTAATCAGTACCTTCAAATCTTTCACCTAGTAAAGTGGAGAAAGAAGTAGGCTTAAGACATCCAGATGAGACACTAATAAACTTCCCTACAGCCTAAAAAATATCAGAACCATTGCTTAATAGTTACAGTGCAGCCAGGTCACCTTTCAATTTTAGGTCTCTTGTGCATGCCTGTGTATGTATGTGAGAGAGTGCCCATTCCAACACAATCTAAAACCAAAATGGCCCTTGTTTATTTTCAGAACTAGTCTTCTGGCTGACGATCTGTTTTGTCCTATAGAGACTTTTCTTTAAATGAATAATTCAGAGTCGAACTGCATAATGGTAACTATATTTTAAAACAAAAATTCCTCACATAATAAATACATTTTATGCACATTAACTTCAAATTTACTTCAGAAAGCTATTTACAATATAAATAATTATAAATGGGAACACTTTGCAAGATATCATTGACATAGCTAATATTTTCTACTTTACATTCCAAAGTAAAAGTTCCAATTACAGCTTTATTCTAAAATATCACTAAAAACTATACATTGCAAGATGGTATTTGGAATATTGACAATCAGTATCTTCTCTCACAAATATAATCCTTTTTATAGCATTTCAGTCAAAAAGCAAACATAAAATATTTTCTCTGTCTTGAAGTGCCTGCTCATTGTGTTTAATTTTTGAAATATTTCCTATGGAAAAAATGAAAAAAGTTACAGTACTTCTAAAAATTTTTCCAGGCCAATTTCATTTGTTCTGAAATTACATATGGATAGTTAGGTACAAATTTAACTGTGATTAAATGTGTCCCAGATAGCAAATTAAGACAAACTCCTCCCATCTAGCGTTATAAAAGCAAAGTCCCATGCAGCAAAATTGCAATAAATAAAACTACAAATGTTTGGTTTAAAATTATCAAGTAGGGTTTCTTGTGTGAATGATTTACATATAAAATTGGATATGGCACATTTTTTAAATCCCTAAGATGATACAAAAACCATATGGGGGAGGGGATACATATCCTTCCTGCATACAATGTTAGAGAAGGAACTCTGAACAGACATCTATTTGGAAATGGGTACAATTTTATCTTTAAGCTCTACCCGTACAATCTTTGTGCACAAGAACTGAGCACCACGCAAAAATTTTCCCCAAGAACATTTTCTATGTATATCTTTTGCATGTGTCCACAGATGTTCTCTAATTCATTTAAAATTTAGAATGATGTTTTATCAAGTTTGTTTCACAGTAAGAACCAACCAATAGATTTTTCTTTCATTTATATTTATGTCTCTTTTCACAAAAATGACATTTACATGTATTTGAATCATTTGAAAGAATGAAGGATTTACATTCTTTATTAAATCATTCTGGACAGAGGATGTATGTCTATATCTATGATTTAAGTGAACTAGGAAGCTAGTTCTAGACAACCAAACTTTTAAAATTAGGACGATATTGAAGTGTAAACTATTGCACCAGACAAGGTGACTAACTCTCAAATGGATACTGAGTTTTCTAAATATCAGCATTTACTCTCTCACTCCCAAGTACTACTAGTACTAACAGATTGCATTGAATTTCTTAATAATGCCCTGCTCTTCAAAGAGAGCTGTAAAATTCTAATCTGTATTCAGAATGTCTCTTGAGCTGTATTATCTTCTATCAAAATTATTTGGCTTTGGTCGGGGGGGGGGGTTCTTTCCTTTTATTTTAAAATATCCACACATATTTTCCAATGGTTGTGTGTTAGAATTGATCCTCATCTTTCATTTTTAAAAAGAAGCAAAAATGGAACATATTATCCTTCTCTACAAGATCCCATTAAAACAAGCGGGATTCTCTGCCCAGAGGCAATATGTGATAGCAGGATGCAGAGAGAATTAACAACAGTACCCAGTGGAAATATCCTAACCTGTCAAAATATAATCAGTAAATAATAAGCAGTTTTCTGTCTAAACACTGAAGGCAAGTCATTTATTACATCCTGTCTCATTTTTAATGTCCCATCAGAACTATCATATTATCTTGTACCAGGCAATTACAGTTTAGAAAAGCTAGCACGTTAGATTCAGCATAACATGGCAAAGACTTTTGGGGCTGAAGCACACCTAACTATCTGGTCTGCAGTGACTATTATCTTAATATCATGCATCCAAAACTAATTCATCAGATTGATACACTCTCAATAATGGTTTAAACAGAATTTTCCCAATGAATATTGAGAATATTAATTTGTTTTCTTTGGTCATCCAAATTTTTAAATTAGGTAAGGGCTGGGGATATAGCTCAGTGGCAAAGCATCTGCCTGGCAAACAGAAGGTCATGAGTTTGATCCCAAGTACCAAAAAATAGATAAATAAATAAATCAGGTAATATAGGCAAAATGGGCAACAGATATATTTTTACTATTACTTAAAAGCATGAGCTTGGTGGCATCTAATAAATTGGTACATACTGCAGCAGTATAATTGGATATAGCACATTTTTATGAATTACAAAAGCGATATTAAAAGGCATACCTATTTCATTCAGTTGCCATGGTTTTTAGCATCTCAGCACAATTATGGAAATCAAGGATAAAAATAAAGCCAATATAGCCAGACATGGTGGCACACCCACTCAAGAGGATCACCACAAGGTCGAGGATAGGAAGTTCTAGGCCAGCCTCAACTACAAAGTGAGACCCTATTTCACTCCCTCCCCAAAGCCAATTTAAGTTTAATTTCCAACTGATTAAGTTACTGGGAACATGTTTATTTTACGCCCTATGTTTTTAAGACACAGATGACATCATCCTTATTAGGAAATATGCTCCTGAACAAAAAAAAATGGTAAGTGTATTTTATACATCTTGAATAGCAGAAAATTGCCTTGTCAGAAAATATCAATTTATTCTGGAACATTCTGTAATAATCATGACATACTGTAAAAAAATAAGGTATATAACACTAAGTCTATAATGCAGTGCACAATCTAATAAAATTATTGATACTCATTACATTAAATAAATGGTTATGTATTTTAAACTAGGTTAATCTATCAAAATTTTTAAGTGAGATCTAATTTAGTCCAGGTGTAGTGGTACATGCCTATAATCCCAGCTCTTTGGGAAGTTAAGCCAAAAAGATGAGAAGTTCAAGATGAGCTTACACAACTGAGTAAGAACTTGCTTCAAAAAATAAACAGGGCTGGGGTTGTAGATCAGTGTGAAGACCTTGGGTTCAATTCCCAGGACCAAAAGGAAAGTAAATTAGTTAATTCTGTCTTCTGTTAAAAATACTAAGCATACCATTTTAAGAAACATTCTTTCTCTAAGTAACTGCTACCTTTGGGAGTTCATAATTCATTCTTTTCTCTAAATAACGATTTGTTATACAAAAAATGTCAGTGGAAACCCCTTAGTAACTGTCTTTTTTATTATTGGTTCATTTTCCTTGATTTTCAAGCTTCTATTTCTCTTATAGTATTTATTACTGACACATTTGGTTCAATATATCAATACAACCCATCTGTATATTTGTCATATTTGTCACGTATTTGTGCCTTTGAAACATTTATCCATTTGTACAACTTTGTAATATCTTTAGCATTCTTAAAATATTACTTGATGCAAATTAATAAAAATCCTTTTTAAATTTTTCAGGAGTTTCTCATAAATAATTTTCTCAAATAATTTTCTTATATAGTTTAAAATTTAGTTTTTATTGTACTTTGAAAATTTTTGAAAGTATATACAATAACTACTACCTTTCTCACCTACTTGCACCTTTTTGTATTTATCCTGGCAAATGTTCCAAGAAAGTTATTTAATTTTATATAGCCTCTTTTCTCATGTACAAACAACCTTGAGGTCATCTCTCAAAACACTGTCAAATGGCCTTATTAAATGATGAAATTCCTGAGGATCCAATGTCATGATCTGTTATAAGTCAAATTCTTTCAGTACATTCCCTTCCTGAAATAAGGAAAGATTTAAAGAAATGGGACCCTTATGAAATATTATCAATGAAATTTCTTTCATCACCCATGTCATTTTGCTTTAATTACTGGAGAACCCATACATTAAATGAATGTTAGTATTTTTCTTCCCCTTTAAACATTTTCTGTCACCTAAATTTTGGCTGGATCTAAGAAAAAGTTCGTGGTAACTACACCTGTGTAATTAACCCAGACACCTGCTAAGTACTACATAGCTATAATAGCAAATTTGTTCTTTCATTGTTTACAAACAAGAAGGAAAATAAGCATTTGCCTGCTCCACTCCCCTCACCCTTTTAAACATTTGTCTATTTGCCTAAGCTTTTATCTTAGATTCTCTCCCAAGGCTTTCCACATGCTGATGCACTAGCTCATCTATGCTCTGAAATATTTTCAAACACTTACATTGCTGTCATGTAGCACTTCACTCGCTTTCTTTAGTCATTTTTGCACTTATCAATCTTTTTTCTTGGGGAATTGGTTTGAATGTTTTATTTCATTGGTTTTATTAGCAAGCCCAAAATATATTGTTTACCTATTCTGAGCCTTAAATTTTTTAAGATGTAATTTCATTCCACTCTGCTTCTGGTCTTTCCATCTTCACTAAACTAACCTCCAGTTGAGCACACCACATTTCTGATGTGTCTCCCAACATCTCAATGCTGTCTCTTAGAAAAACCCTTACTGCTATGTCGTGCAACCCTTGTCCTTGTCTAACTCAAAAGTAAGATTAAAAAAAAAAAAAAAAACCTCCACTTCCTGATTGTTTATAGTGGGCATCAGGTGAGCACTCATTCTTGCACCATAGCCAGAACAAGTACTCTAATTTATGCCTGAACCAAATGGGCTGACTTGTTTGAAATCACAAAGTCAGCTTATAAGGATGTGTCCCTCTCTTCCTTAGTTATGTTGTGAACAGGAATTTATTTAAGAACCTTGATGTGGTAAAGTTAAGGAAAGGTACCCCTTGGTGTTTATATTTATGGTATGTGTTTTCTAGTTTGCATGTAAAGTATACATAGAAGTTTGTGAACAGCTGTCTGCATGCATGGATTTCACTGGATCATCACAATACAAGGTCATTCTTCAGCCCTTTCACTGGGGGTATATGTTTACTTGATTTGAATGAACCTTTTTCCATTCAAAATACATCTATTCTGGTTCCCACACAATTAGAGGGGCAATTTGTGTGTTCACATTAGCTTCCTGTATATAACCCTGGAAGTTAGTATCATTTTTTCTTTGATTTCACAGGAACACATGTCGAATACCAGTAATTGTTTTTCTAACAATCTGTGGCATACTAAATGCTGGTAATGGGACATTAAACTATAAATATGTTTCAGAGATCCTTGAAGAACAAAGTTTTTAAAGAAAAAAACCATCAGCTTCCATTGGTTATTATAACAGATGTTCCCTTGTGCCCTTGTGCGGGGTCTGGCTGCATCCTCAGATGGGAAGTTACATCAAAGTGTGAACCATTGCAGCCCAGGGAATAGTTTCTAATAGTTTCACTGTCATACAAGTGCTCCAGGGCATATCCGGTTAATGTGTAAGCATGCTTATCAAAATATTGCCGGTGAGAACCAAAGCAGTTTGGAGAAACAGCAGCATGGTCTCCCACTGTCTGATGAGGAGACATATCCGAATGTAGATAGTCTTTAGCTAGGATCAAGCTGGATTTTGAAATGCGATCAGAATTGGGACTACTTATCCGAGACAGTGCAGTGGGACTATTGTCATAGTCATTTTCATGGGGGCTCAGCATCTTTCCCTCTCTCTGCTGGATGTGGTCACATGGTGAAGTGTTGGCCAGAGCAGAGCTGTGGCAGACTTCGCCTGTTGGTGGGGGCTGTGGGTAGTTTGCAAAACAGAGGGAGTGTTTTTTCCCTGCCCCATTAATGGAAGCCAGTTGGTCTGGGGGAGCTTTCCTTAGCTGCAATCTGTTCTCTTCTTCTTTAATCATTTGCTGGGTAGCTCTTATCAGAGTTTCAATTTTGCTAGGTTCATGTGGGCTACTCTGATACTGGTCAGTGCGGTATCGGTCACCTGATTCACTGGCTGATCCAGGGTCTGGAGAGCTGACCACACTATCTTCATCCCAATGACCTCGCCCTAGAAATCAGAAAAAGCAAAAGAGTAAGTTGTCTCGAAATTTACCAAAATAAACGTGTATTTTTCCTATTAAAAGAGATCTATTTTTTCATTTTTAATATATGCACCAATATTTGAAACAGACATGGGCCTATATGATAGTGTCAATTTATTATACTGGAATTTACATTTAAATCAGTAATGGGCAGGTGAAATGTACAACAAATATCTTAGAGGACAAACCTTGCATATGGGTTCTGTATGACAATTAGTGAAATAGTAAATTGTGCAATACACATCTTATTAGACCTTCCCAACTGCAAATCATAGAAAGAAAATATACAGAACATGATTTGTGCTACTTTCTAGAGCAGTGTAATGTTACACTGATGCTTAGAAAATATTTACAATTAAGTTACTGGAAAACAACTACACTGGTTGAATTCCTCTCTCTAGTCCAAATAAATCACTGAAAATGTTAATATTGCTCAACATGTCTTAAGTAGGTTAGAATAAAGATATAATGTTTGTGTTTTTAGACAAATGAAGGTTAAAAATACATTCATATGTATGTGTACGCACATGTATATGTGTGTGTGTGTGTGTGTGTGTGTGTGTGTGTATGCATGGATGAGAGATGTGGATATACCTTGCCCTAATTAAAAATATAACTAAAACTTTATCAAATGTAATGGTGTCTCAGCTTTAGAGGTAATCATCTAAAAACTCAGGTATCTTATATTGCTTCTGAAATAAGGTAAAAAATAAATATTAATAATTTAAATAATATGTTCTGAACCAAGGAAAGAGAACTAATACAGAAAAATAATGCATCCAAAATATATTTCATAAGCCAAATTATTCTCAAACCAGTCTGAAGTCGATATAAAAAGAAAGAAAAAAATAGGGACATATGAAACCTTTAACTGCTTAATGCAGCAGAGAAGCCTTGGATCACACTACTCATTGTGTTCCTTTTCTCTTTTCTTCTTATTTTATTTCTATTTTCTGCCAGACATAGGCAAGTTAAGCAAGGATTTTCACTTCACTCCTCTTTGGCAAGCAATTGCCCTTTGCCCTGGCTTTCCAGTACCAGGCTACCGAAATGTTCTTTGGTTCAGAATAAGTTGTTTACTCAAAGAAAAAGCAGAAAAGTTAAAAGCAAGAATGGAAACAATTTGAATTACTCATAGAAGGCCATAGATGTCTAGGTGGTATCTGACAGGTGACTTTAGGGGTGGTGACAACACTGTCTAAAGCACATTTCACATTCTAAAGGCAAGAACAGTAATCAGATCAATCCTATCACTAACATCTAATAGGGATGTTTTCAAAGAGCTGCCTGCGTGGAAGCTTGGCGTGGACAGAGTGGGCTCTCCTTACCTGGTTTACTCTGAAATAAGCAAAGAAGAATTTACAGTAATTAAAGTTCCATAAAGGTATATGATAATACCAAGATGAAAATCTACACATCACTCCCTTCTTACCTCCAGGGACACTGTGGCTGTCCAGTCAGCGGGGGAGTGGGCACTCAGACGCGAGAATCTACCATATGAGTGACACACAGACCACAAAACAAAGACCTTTGCTTTTTGAACCAGCAAACTGTATTGGCTTTTGGGAGGAGGGTGATTTTTAAGTCAAAAACAGCAGCCGGGCCAGTCCCTCGGGAAGCGAGCACGGCGCAAACCTGCGCGGGCTGGGCCGGCTGGGGCCTTACCGTGGATCCTGTGCACCGCGGCGGCGATGTGCGGCAGGCCGCTCTCGTAGGCGTCCCTGCTCTCCGGGGAGGCCTTGGTCAGTGGCAGGGCTGCGCGAGAGCCCCACCAGGGCTCCCTCCCGGCCTGCGGCGCGCCCAGGAAGTACCTGCCCGCCTCGCAGCGGCCGCCCTCGCAGGCCTGGCCATGGAAGTGCCGGTCCTCCGCCAGCCGCGAGGGGTCGAGCGCGAAGCCGTAGCACAGCGGGCCGCGCTCCGAGAGCTGCCTGTAGGCGCAGGACGCGTCGTGCTGCGCGCCCGCGCGCTCAGCCGGGTCCAGGAGCTGCGGGGAGGCCGCGTCGGGCAGGGGGCTCCCGCCCCACTGGCTGTCGTGATCTGACTCCGATCTTTCCGTGTGGAACCCTGGATACTGAAACGCAAGGAGGAAACAGGCATCTCAAAAACAAGTCAGTTAAACAAAGAACAGCCTTGACGCTGCAGCACCCTTTAAAGCCATGTTGGCCCCGAACCAGATCTCACTCTACCAGGGCTGGACACCTCTCCTTGGAAGCACTTAATCAGATGACGCTTTCATGGCAAATGCTCTGGGCCGTCAGGTGAAGAAGTAACATAAAATACTAACTGAAGTCCTGAGCACAGAATAAAGTGGTGCGCGTCAATTACGACCAGTGGTTCTTCCAGAGCCTTGAATGGTGGTATTAGTGACCCCGACTTATGGACAGGAAAGCTAAGGGTCAAAAAAGCAAAGTAATTTGCCCAAGGCCACAAGGTTAGCAGGCATGGGAAGGGAAAGGTAATTAAAAAGAATTAAAATGAGTTGCCTACATGAACCAGTACATGTACCTACATGTACCCAAAATGAATGTAACCCTTAGGCACTGAAAATGTGTACTAATAAAAATTTGAAAAATTTTTTCATTTTGAAAATGAAAATGCAAACCCAAATTCTGCACTACCTGAATGGTACTCCCCAAATAAGGATTGCAAGGAAGCTCCAATTTTACTTGTGTTGGTCCTCCACATTTCTTCTTAATTAGAAAAAAATCCATCAATGCGCTAAATTTTAAGTTTATATTAGATTGTTAACTCTGAATGGCATGCTGGATACATGGTGAATAATTTGTACCTAGTTCAGTTGCAAAATAACTTTCAAAATCTTGTTCATATAAGCTGGATTTATACACTGGAATATCATTTGCTAAGCTAAAACTCTAATTACTCATAGGATCATAGCAGGGGATGGAAGACAAGCCACGGGAAACACTGTCTCTAATGAAATCACACTGCTTACCTGCTCCCAAACTCTTTGGTCAGGTGATGAAAGAAAATGTATAAAATGCTCTGCAGGCTTCCTCAGGGACTACACTTAGTTCCAAGGGCCCATCAACCACTAACTAAGGCCAAACATAGTTCTAAGTACTACATAGAGATTACCTGCTATGGTAATAAACTATGCCATTTATTGAGAATTTACCATACATCTAATATCTTAATTATTCCATATATGCATATTACTTATTATAACCACTCTAATATGCTATTAAATAACTCTTATGGGTACAGAATCTACATCACCAACAATTTTAGTAGGCTGCCACAGCCATCTCATAGTCTATCTGTTCTTTAAAATGGCACTCCAAATAATAGTTACAAGTCTGAGACTAAAGTACTGCCAAAGAAAAAGAGCAAGAGAAAAGTATTCAAGGTTTAAGAGATACACAGTTGAGAAGCAGGAACTTTTTTTTATAGTTACTAGAACCAAAGTATAAATGCATTGTACATTTTATTTATTTATTTATTTATACTGAAAATGGAACTCAGGACTTTGCACTTGTCAGGCAGGCACTTATGCTGCTGAGCTATATTCCCCAACCCCACTGAACCTTTTCTTCCCTAGCCCTGAGGAGGGAATGTTGTGATATTATAGGGTGGGAGAAGAGAGAGGACCCAAGCTCTACTGTTTTGCCCAGACACATGCTGGTTGAGCAAATTTCACACATGCCAAGACCTTCACAGGGCAAGCATAGGCCCACCCTGAATGGCAGGAAAAACACTGGTTCTTCTCACCTCAGTGCAATCAGGCAAGTCGCTGCAGCTCTTAGGGACAGAAAGTTGAGGTCCACAGAGTTGTTCTTGGTTATATACCAACTCCTCACAAGAAACATCATCATTACATAGTACAAACTTGTACTAAGAAACATTTTCTTTAAAAAGCTTATTCTTTGACAACTCCAAAGAATGCTAATAAATACAGCAAGCTCATGACAAGATAGTAAGTTCCAGGTTCAAGATTTTCCCACTGCCATTCTAATCACTATTTTAATTATTTTCTAAATATACATACATGAATTATTAGCATATTCCATCAGGAAAACAAGTGGAAAGTTCTACTTTTTTTTCCCCAGCAGAGCTATGGGATGGAACATCAAAGAACCCTGAGTTGTAGCTCCCTGAATCATACCTTGCACACACCATCAGCCTTTTCTTCCAATGAACCCCAAACTCTCCTCTCAGAAGATACTACCTTAACTTTCCCCAGAGCAACAGACAGCGGCCCCTGGCCCTACTGAGTGTGAACCCAACACCACGGGTTTTCCTGAGCACCACTCATCTGCTTGCCCCTGGGAAACTCGGGCCATTCATGCTAGTCCAAGATAGAAGTTGTCCAGACTCTGCGTGTTTTTATAAAAGTATAATCTAGGCCTATTTCTGAAGTACTCCAGTCAAGACTTTTGAGCCCTGTTAAGAGGAGAAAAAAGCTTTACCTAAGTGTATGTGGGAAAGTGCTATTGGCAAAGCGAAGAACATTCTGTCCTTCACACACAAAGAAAATTCAACACAAGGCTACCCTGGCATACGCGAGGTACACATTTCAAGAGCACCCAAAGAAGAATTTGTAGGATAAGCCTCTTGTCAATAGTCCAGAAACTAAGTAGTAAGTGCACCGCCCTGAGATTTTCAAGCAGGCAAAAGTTGGGTGGGTAACTAGGACCTCACAGTGCTTTGAGACTTGTGAGGAAGAACTTAGCAGTAAATTTTTGATTTTAAAAAAACCTATGAACTTGCACCAGTGCACACCATGAAAACTCTATTCACATTCACTCCTTAAAATGAACTGCACCAGATGTAAACTCTGTTGTGGACACTACAACCCCATTATTTGATCTGAAATATTTCAGGTGTTCATTAAATATTTGACAAAAGAGAGAGGGCAGAATAAGAGGAAGATAGCCAGCCAATATAAGCAGTGAGTACAGCATAATGAGTGAATACTGCATAAGAAGGCTCACACCTACTTTTGCCATTTACTACATTTAAGCAAGTGATTTAATTTCTTTTAATGGTCAAAAGGTTGTGATGATATTAACCAACAAAAGCTGAAACAGAAGTAAGTCCATTTAAGGACTGAGAGCCAGAATTTATTTCTAGGTCCGCTCATGCTATAACTTTCAGGTTATCATTGGGCGAATTACTTTATCTTCCTTAGTCTCATCTGTAAAATTATATATTGGGTTAGATTAGACCTACTATAACTTTTCTTTCAACTGCAATATTCTTTATGATGAAATAATTATTTGGAGCACTTTCTAGTATTGAAACATGATTCCTATGCCTGTACCTATAATTCACTTATTTAAAAATGATAACCATTGAAAAGCATTACTCAAGTTGAAGAATTTTTTATTCTCACTATTATAAGGAATTATATTGTAAGACATAATATTATAGTATAATATCCATCTTCCGCATTTTACCATAAGGCCAATTTTCCCTCAGATATTCCATTTATTAGGAGTTTCATGATGCCTTTTGTTCAACAAAGTATTATTACATTTTGAAGAAGGAAGGATACCTCACATTTGGGTAAGAAAAATGACTCTGAGTGTGAATTGTTCCACACTTTCACTTTGCAAAACCTTCAGTAAGAAAAACAAGTTTAGTTACACGTGACCCACATCATCAGCATTAGTCGAAACAAAAAAATGATTAATTTCAAATAGCTATTATGAACCTACAGTTGTAGAATCTGTGGATACAGGGTAGGGGAAGGTCTAAAGAACCTCTGACTAGGGCAGGGGAAGACAGATCAAATCATCCTCAGAATGAAAGCGTACATTAAATGAGGATTCACAGCACAGGGCATAGAAAAGGTCTCAAGAGTCAGCAAACTACAAACTGGCAGCCTGTCAGAAGTGTCGAGTAGAACAAAGGGTGAATGGGTTTGTTCTTTAGAGACACCACAATGAAAGCAAAGGAGGAGAGAAAAAAATTAAGAGATCTGGTAGACATGAAAAAAAGAAAGTCCAAGACAGGTCTATCCTGTGCTTCAACCCAGCCCTCCATCGTATCATCACCCACTGAAAAAGTTGTAATTCACAAAGCTAAAGGAAAGAGTGTTCTTAAACTAGCATCACAGCCCATGGAATGCTAAAGAATAGGAAAAATTTAAGCTTTATGTAAAATTTCTGTAGAAATAAAATGTGAAAATGGATATACAAACATTTCAGCTAATAAAAATTTTCACCAAATTATCCATCAATGAAAATAAATATGATCAAATACCCTCAACAAACATTTGGAGATATACATACACAAAGACACACACATAAGTACACACAGCCACAATCAACAATAAGAAACTTTAAAACTAAGAAATGTACCCCAAAAATCCCATTGCAGAGCTGGAGTGGTAAAGCATTTGTCTAGGATTAGGATATGCTGGCTCCTATTTTTATCTCTCTCTCTCTCTCTCTCTCCCTCTCTCTCTCTCTCTCTCTCTCTCTCTTTCTATCTTTCACCTCAGAGAATGTAAATAAGTGAAAAATAAATTACAAACTATGAAAAAAGAGAATAGATTCAAATGAAAATTTAATAGGTAAAATTAAAGAAAGGTTGAAAAATAACTAAAGAACAAAAATTACAGAAACTCAAAGCTTTAGAGAGAAAATGGTTAAGAGACGATAAAAAAATGTACATAATATAAAGGGCAAAAAACAATCACACTTAGTAAAACAATTTGGAAAAGAAAAGTAGAGTAAAAGAATCTTTCTATCCAGCTTCACAATTTACTATATTGCTACTATAATGGAAATTATTAGTATTTACAGAGACAGATAGATCAATAGATTAGAATAGAGAACCCAAAAACAGATCCACACAAATATTTCCAGTGCGTGTGTGTGTGTGTGTGTGTGTGTGTGTGTGTTGTTTTGGTTTTGATTATTTTTTTGGTACCAGGGATCATGACCTTGAGCTTGCCAGGCAGGCACTTATGCCGCTGAGCTAAATTCCTGGCCCCCAATTTGTTTTTGACAAATCTATCAACAAAGGTTAGACTTCTCAACAAATGGCACTGGAGTAAATATGCGTTAATAAGCAAAAATCAAATGGTAATGCATTACTATTTAA